GGGCAGCGCCCACCCCCTAAAGTGAAAAATCCCTCCAAAAAAAAAAAAAAAAAAACTTATCAAATCAACACTATGCTCTAAGCAGCATCACCAAAGAGTACCAGTTAAGCAGACAAGACAACTTTGCAAAATTGAAAAGTAAACATAAAAATCTTAATTTCCAGGCCAGCCTGTGGCATGCTGGTTAAGGTGGTTAGATATCACAGGCCTGACCATGTGGTTTGAGTCCTAGACCCGAAGGCTTGAAAAACACATGGGCATATGTGCCCAAAATCTCAAAGGGAGGGAGAAATGGAGGAGAAGGGATTGTGTCATGATTATTCCCCCATGGGAGATGCTTTCTCACCTCTCCCTCATCTCTTTCTCTGGCAAATACACATGCCTCTGGTAAGAATTAAAAAAAAAAAAAAGAATTTCCTAAGCATAACGAATTTCAAGGAAATAACCCAGTCCTTACCAGGTAAATGGCATCCCCTCATCCTTGTGTTCCTGACACATTTTCACTGTTTGACAAAATTCACTGCTCCTTTCTTGCTACATGGGTATATGTAAAGCTTTGACCTAAAATAACCACCTTTGGTCCAGCAGATGGTGTGGTAATTAAGGAGCTGGATCCTATGTGACTGACTGTATGGTTCAAGTCCTGGACCTGGTGGCTTGACAAACACACTGGACGTGTGTGTGTGTATGCATGTCCAAAATCTCGAGAGGAGAATGAAGGAGAAGGAATTGCAGTGTGTCCAACCCCCAGGGAGCAATTTCTCACTTTCTTTCCCTCTGTCTCTGTCTCTCCAGAGAGTGCACACACACTATGGCAAACATCTAAAAAAATAATAAAAACTTTAATAATGATACAGCAGAATAATTATGGTACTGCTATAATAGATATGTCAGATGAACAAATAGATTATTCATTATATCAATGCTACTCATAAAGGATTGTCATCAATTTTGTTTTATGCTTACACCTATAATATGGTTGCCTTGGAACACAAAACTTTTTATTGCAATAAAATTAGAAGAATTGTGGAGAAAGAATAAATCAAATTTAGAAAAGTTGCAAGCATAGGTTGATAACTCTAGGACTAATATACCTCAAAAGTGGATTTTAAAAATAGAAAAACTGTTCTTACAAGCTCAAACAAGAGTCTAAGACAAACAGGCTGCTGCAGGTTGTTTTTTTGTTAGTGTCCATATATGTAGGACTGGTTTCCCTTAATGATTCTTAAAGCAGTCCTCTAAAGTGAGTGACTTGGTGCATAATAAGACCTGCTCTCTGTCTAAAGCTTTTAGAACAATGACTACACTTGTATGGCTTCTCCCCTGTATGAATTCTTAAATGAATAACAAGGCTTGGTCTCTGTCTAAAGCTTTTCCCACAGTAATTACATTTAAAAGGTCTCTCTTCAGTATGCGTTCTCTGGTGTAAAGTAAGAGCTGTATATCGACTAAAACTTTTCCCACAATTATGACATCTGTGAGGTTTTTCTCCTGTATGAGTTTTCAGATGTCTTTTAAGACTTGATCCATGACAAAAACTTTTTCCACACTCAAGGCATTTATATGTTTCTTCTTCAGAATGGGTTCTCTGGTGCCCTATAAGGTGTGACCGCCGAGTGAATCGCTTTTTACATACAGTGCATTCATAGGGCCGCTCCCCTGTATGAAGTCGTTGGTGTCTATAAAGGTCTGAACTACGAAGAAATCTTTTTCCACATTCAGGGCATTTGTGAGGCTCCTCTCCAGAATGAATTCTCTGGTGTCCAGTAAGTTGTGACTTCCGAGCAAAACATTTCCCACACTGAGGACATCTATGAGGTTTCTCTCCTGGATTTTTTTTCTTAAGGGGTCTAGGGTTGAGAGGTTCTTCTAAATTGGAGTTCTCAGGTGTCTCTCCTAGAGCAGGATTCTGAGGATCTACAATTTTTGTTAAATCTGTCTGTAAATCCTCTGGGGGGTTTTCCCATTGATTTTCTAATGGTACATAGTCTTTTTGCAAAATAGGACCATGGAGAGCATTCCCCTCTAAAGTTACAATAAATGGATACATATTCTCCAGTTTTTTCTGTTTTGAAGTATCTTCTTCATTTTCTATCCCAATCTCAAAACCTGAGAAAAGAAATAGAAATTACAGATGTCATTGTGCTCCATGGAGAAAAGAAAAGTGGGGAGAAATGAAGTTATATTAAACCTTTAGTAGGAATACAGAAGTTCCTAAATAGAAGTCCAATTTTTTTTTTTAACAATGATTACAGTAGAAAGTTTTTTTTTTCTTTCTTCCCTAGTGCATCAATTAATAATTACTTACCGATTTTGGAATCAAGTAATTGTTTCATTTCTTTGGAGTCCTGCAATTCCTTCACCCATGGCTCTTCTCTATGTTCCAATGGGAAGTTCACATCAAGCTTTGGTAATGGAAATCCTGGCCATAAGAAAGATGAGAAGTGTGATAAATTGGCTCATTAAAGACTTTTCTAGAAATTAGGGTGATTTCTTGGATACATGGTCTCTTAATATTTACTTCCTCCTCAATTACTATTACTTCACCTAGAGTTTGATACAAAAGTCCTGTTTGTATTAGTTTTAAGATAAAACAAAATGAGGGGCCAGCTTAATGGCACAGTGGTTAAACCCCTGTGCATAGAAAGCTGGAACCCACATGGCCAACAGTGGTTCAAGTCTTGACCCAAGCAGCTTGAATAACACACTGGGGGTGTGTACAGTGTTTCAAATCCTGAAGGGATTGAAAAATGGAGGGAAAGGATGGCTGTGTGACAACACTCCACTGGGGGGGGGGTGCTGTTTTCCCTTTCTCTCTCACAAGTGCACGTGCCTTCTGGCAATGCCAAAAAAATAAATAAATAAGATAAGAACATCTTATGCTTGGAGATCTGAAAGTTAACAGCTTCTTTGCATCTGGGAGGCTGCTCCTGATGACTCTGCAGCCATCACCATGCCACAAAATGAATATATTCATTACATCATAAATGCTATGGATACCATTTGTACTACCATGAGAAAAAGAGAAAGAAGAAAAGTCGGGAGGCCCATGAACGTTCAAAAAAGGCAAAAAAAAAAAAAAAAGATGATTGGTCTGAAGGCTAAGGTCTGTCATAAACAGCACCATGCTGAGAAAATACAAATGAAAAAGACTACCAAGATGCATGAAAAGAGGAACATCAAACAGAAGAATGATGAAAAGACTCCACAAAGAGCAGTATCTGCCTATCTGCTGGACAGAGAAGGACAGTCCCGAGATAAGGTACTTTCCAATATGATTAAACAGAAACGGAAAAAGAAAGCGAGAAAATGGGGAGTCCCTCTACCCAAAGTTCAAGCCCAGGAAGAAACAGAAGTATTAAAAGTTTTTCAAGCAGGAAAGAGAAAGAAGGCATGGAAGAGGATGGTTATAAATGTCTACTTTGTTGGAGATGGCTTTACTAGAAAACCACCTAAATATGAAAGATCATTAGGCTAATGAACTTACGTTTCAAGAAGGCCCACATAACACATCCTGAACTGAAAGCCACCTTTTGCCTGCCAATACTTGGTGTAAAGAAGAACCCCTCATCCCCATTGTATACAACTTTGGGTGTTATCATCAAAGGTACTGTCATTGAGGTGAACGTGAGTGAGCTGGGCCTTGTGACACAAGGAGGCAAGGTTATGTGGGGGAAATAAGCCCAAGTTTCCAACAATCCTGAAAATGATGGATGCATAGATGCTGTCTTACTGGTTTGATAGCAGCTGCATACAAGTAACTCCTTGTCATTTGTGAAGATGATGCCCCAATCTGGAAAACCATCATGACTGACGTTTCTGAATATAGCTGGTCTTACATGTCTGCAGTCATCAAAAGATTATTTATTAAATTGTACAAAAACATTAAAGTGGCCTAGTTTTACAAAAAAATAAAAAGAATTTCTTGTGTTCAATTCAAGGCTATTCTCTCATCTATGGTGGGTTAGTAAACCAACTGTGCTGAAATCAGTGCACTAAATTACTTCTGCCTCTATTTTGATAACAGATTTGTTTAGATTAGAGCTAAAATATGAAGTAAATCTTCATAAAGTTTTGGCACACTAAAACAGAAAAACATTGCTACTGAGTGCCAAAGGAAGAGAGTAGGGTAAAAATAGGGTTCTGAGGGCCAGCAGGTGATGTAGTGGTTAGGGAGCTGAACTCCCACATGGCCAACCGTGGTTTGAGTCCCAGACCCTGTGGCTTGGGCGGTCACAGTGGTGTACATGCATGCATGCCCAAAACCCTGAGAGGAGGCTGGAGGAAAACAGATTGTGGTATAGCCATCCCTCTGGGAGTGATTTCTCTCTCTCTCTCTTTCTCTCTCTCTCATGAATGTGTGCACTCTATGGTAAAAATCTGGAAAAATAAAAAAGAAGAAAATAGGGGTTATGAAACTGTTTACTAGAAGAATTTCATTTGAGGCTTTTAAAATTAAAATACAAATTGAGCTAGGCTGGTAATTGGCAAATGCAGTCTTTATATTTGTTTTAGCTTCAGCTAACTTCTAGAAGTGGATTCTGCTACATTTAATCAAACAAACAATCAAACGTGTTTCTTAACAGTCAAACTAAGAATAACCAGGTAGTTTCTACCATTCACTTTCCCTTTGCGTCTGACTACTCCTGTCCTCACTGACAGCAGCTTGCATATGTTTTATTCATGCCTCATCTCCTTCTTCTTCATCTCTGGCTAAGTTTCCTTGTCTCCAATGAAATATGGGTTGTAAATTACTGATGTGAGATCTAAGTGCAGGATGATGTTTAAATATTAGTATTATTAAAACAATCTTAGGAAACTAAGTTCACTAATGTTAGTCTGATGGAAAATTTAAATTTCAGAACATTGTACCAAGACAGAGGAAGTGGACTAAAATATCTTATTTGATTTTTTTTCATGGAGAAAAGACCATATGTTTCTTTCTTAAGATTAAGAAAAAAGGGCCAGCAGGTGACGTAGAGGTCTTTGGATCCCACACAGTCAACTGCAGTCCAGTTCCTAACCTGGTGGCTTGAAAAATCACTCCAGGCATGTGCGTATACACACATTATAGCAAAGAACCTAAAAGCCACAAAAAAGGATAAAACTTTGAGGGTTAGTCTCAAGGCACAGTGGTTAGGCACTGTGCATAGAAAGCCAGATTCCACACAGCCAACTGTGGTTCGAATCCTGGTGCCAGTGGCTTCACAGAATGTCCAGGCACATGTGTGCATGCGTGCCCAGTCTTGACAGGATGGAGAAATGGGAAAAATGGTGTGACTATGCCCCATTTGTCTGTCTCTCTGTCTGTCTCTGGAGAGTGCATACATCCTCTGGCATTAAAAATAAAACAACAAAAGACAAAACCTTGAAAGACAGCAAGAGAAAAATGACTCATTACTTAAAAGGGAACCTCAACGAGATTAAAAGCTCAGTTCTTGTCAGAAACAAGGGAGACTAGGAGGTAGTTGGGTAACATATTCAAAGTGCTCAGAGAAAAATAAAAACTGTCAACCAAGAATTTTATATCCATCAAAGCTATCTTTCAAAAATGAATATTAAATAAATATATTCCTGATAAAAACTGAGAGAATTCATTGTTAGCAGATTTGCAAGATCCTGTCAAGGGAGCTCTCTCTCTCTCTCTCTTTCATAAAAGAGGAAAGAAATTGGAGAAAAATTAAATGTGAATGGTTTAAATAACTCTACCAAAAGGGGGAGAACTAATTAGACTGTCTTTTTAAAAAATGACTCTACACTGTCTACAGGAGATATGCTTTAGATTCAAAGATACAAATAGGCTAAAAGTAAAGGGATGGAAAAAGACATGCAAATAAAAACCACAAAACAGCCAGACAAAATAGACATTACATTTTTAAAAACGTTACTATAGAAGAGGCCGACAGGTGGTGTGGTAGTGGAGGCTCTGGACTCCCACATGGCTGACCACAGTTTGAGCCCCTGACCTTGTAGCTTGCTTTCTCACTTTCTTTCCCTCTGTCTCTCTCTGGTGGGTGCATGTGCCCTACAGCAAATTAAAAAATAATAATAACAGTAATATATAAAATTAAATAATTCTATAAAACTGTCTAAAAAGTTACTATAGATAAAGTGAATTACTTTATAATGATAAAAGAATCACTCCATCAGGAAGATATAACAAGTATAACTATGCATGCACTTAATTACCAGGTATCAAAATGCATGAAGCAGGACCAGCAGATGGCGTAGTGGTTACGTCACTGGACTCCCATATAGTCGACTGTGGTTCGAATCCTGGACCTGGTCGCTTAAACTCATGCCAGGTGCGTGTGGGACCCAGATCCTAAGATCCTGAGAGGAGAATGGAGAAGGGATTGCGGTGTGGTCATGCCCCCTGGGGGGTGATTTCTCACTTTCTGTCTCTCTGTCTCTGTCTTTCTGGAGAGTGTACACACCCTATAGCAAAAAAAACTCTCAAAAAAGAAAAAAAAAAGAAAGGCATGAAGCAAAAACTGACAGAAATCATGGAAGAACTAAGCAATTTAACAATAGTAGTTGAGCTGGTCCCATGGCCTAGTGGTTAAGGGAGCTAGATTCAGCATGGTCAACTACACAGTTTGAATCCCAGACCTGGTAGCTTGAAAAACATGCTGGATTCTTGTGTGTACAGGCCTAAGATCCCAAAAGGGTGGAGAAATAGAGGAGAAGGGATTGTAGCATAACCACACCCTATTGGGGGTGCTTTCTCCCTCTTCCTGTTTCACTGTCTCTCTGTGGCAAATTAAAAACAAAACAAAACAATAGTAGTTGGACACTTCAATTAACTACTTGCTTTAATGGAGAGAAAATCTAGACAGAAGACTAACAGTAGAGGACACAGAAAATGCTATACACTAACTAAACTTAACAGATATTCATAGGACACTCTACCCAACAACAGTATATACATTCTTCACAAGACCGCACAGAAAATTCTCCAGGACAGATGAGATGCTATACCACAAAACAAATGTTCCAAAATTTGAAAGGATAACATTACAAAGTATATTCTCCCATCAAAATGAAATAAAATTCAAAATAAATGACAGAAAGAAATTTTGTATCTTCACAAATATATGGAAATTAAACAACACACTCATAAATAACCTATCAGTCCAAAAAGAAATTAAAAGAGAAATCAGAATTATTTTGAGACAAATGAAATGAACACACTGCATACCAAAATGTAAGGGATGTATATAAAGCAAGGGCTTGGAGGGAAATTTATAACTGAAGAGGAAGAAATTATCAAATTAATAACATAATATTACACCTTAAAATATTAGAAAAGAAAAAACTAAACCAAAACAACTAGAAAGAAGAAAAAAACCCCACTAAAGTAGAATTTAATGATAGAATTATAAAACAACAGAGAAAGTAATTGAAACCAAGGTTGATTCT